GGCCGTATCAGATTATTGCACGAGTTGGTGTTGTGGCTTATCGTGTGGCGTTGCCTCCGAGTCTTTCGAATTTGCATGATGTGTTCCATGTTTCGCAACTTCGGAAGTATGTTCCAGATCCGTCACATGTGATTCTTATGGATGAGGTTGAGGTAATAGATAATCTTACGGTTGACGTTTTACCGGTTAAGATTTTGGACCGTGAAGTTAAGAACCTAAAAGGCAAAGATATTGCGCTGGTGAAAGTAGCATGGTGAGGTGCTGCGGATGACAATATGACTTGGGAATTGGAGAGTAAGATGCGTGAGTCGCATCCAAAGTTGTTTGGATTAGGTAATATTTTCGAGGACGAAAAATTCTAAAGTGGGGGAGAGTTGTAACTCCCCAATTCTGAATTCCCATTTATTTGAGTCTTTATTTAATTTATTTAATTGATCGTTATTTTAAATGTGGAATTTGTGTTAAATATGTTATGAGTGCATATTGTGTTATTTTTGCCGACTTTGAGAGTTTCGGATAAAAAAAAGTAGGTCGGAGGGTATTTTGGGTATTAGTAATTATGTTAAGTGGATATTTTATGAGAATCGATTAATTAGTGTGTGGAAAGAATTTGAGAGGAAAGAAATAGAAACATGAGATAAGAAGGGGAAAATAGAGAAGTTAGTAACATTGGAAAGAAAAGAAAGGAAAGAAAGGAAGAGAAGAGAAAGAGGGAAGAAAGAAGAGGAAACCTAGAATCCATCAAGAACTAATCCAAGCTTGCAAATAATCAGATAAGGGTGAGGAATTCTATCATCTTGATAATGTATGTAGCATGTATGCGATAGATTGGTTGTTGTTGGGTAGTTCTCTACATTTCCACTTTAGGTCGAAAATTGGTTTAATCGGTAGATGATGAGTTTTATCGGTTAGAATTCGGAATAGACGATACAGTTTAGTCGGGTGATGCGTGGGTTGTGCTACTAAGACCATTTTGGATTGAATCGGTCGGTTTTGTGAGGTTTGGGTTTTTGGACAGCCATGGAAGTTCTGAGTTCGCGAGTTCGCCAGGCGAAGCCTAGCGAGCAGCAGCGAACCAAGTCAGTAGCAACCAGAACCAATTACCTTGTCTTCGCTGGCATGTTTGCCAGGCGAATGGGTGTGGCGAAGGTTTGCCAGGAGTTCGCCAGGCGAGTGTGCTGGCGAGTAATTCCAGAATAATTCCCAGTGGTCTTCGCTGGCATGTTTGCAAGGCGAATGGGTGTGGCGAAGGTTTACCAGGAGTTCGCCAGGCGAGTGTGCTGGCGAGTAATTCCAGAATAATTCCCAGTGGTCTTCGTTGGCAAGTTCACCAGGCGGACGTTGCAGCGAAGGTTGGCGAATGCAGCAACATATTTTATTTTCTTGAGCTTCTCCATTATGGATTGGTTGTGTGGTTTGGTTGCGATCATTCCTTGTTCGAGGTGACTGATTATGTGTTGTTGTGTGTGCTGTGGGTAGCCGTATGGCGTAAATCTAGTTTATGATTTGTGTAGTGTAAAGTGTGGCCGGTTGGCAATTTTGTGCATTTGCTTAGTTTGTATAGAAATGCATGAGGAATTGATTGTGAATGTGAACCATGCTTGAATGGTGTGAATGAGTGACGAATATATATGTTTTATGATGTATATATTTTGAATGCATAAAATGAATATGTGCGATAAATGTGAAGAATGCATGAGTATGGTTGTAAACATGTGTGCATTTCAAGAGCGTCATGAGTCATGTTGCATGTGAAGCATCATGGTATGCATTCTTGTGTCGATTGATTCCTCGGCGAATCTGCAGAACCTCGTGTGCCCTTGTGAGGTGTAAGCGATGGTTATTTATTGATCCCTCGGTGGATTTGCAGAACCTCGTATGTTGCGATGGTTATTTTGATTCCACGTAGAATCTGCAGAACCTCGTGTGCCCATGTGGGGTGTGAGCGATGGTTATTTGGTTCTTCAATTGAACCTGTTTAATTGAGTCGGTACCGCATTTGCATCTGCATAGAGTCGTGTGTCGGTCTCTATGAGTTGCATGTTGAAGTCTTTGCATGATGTATGGTGAATAAACATAATTGTAAATGTTTATGTGAATTGTTGATGATTGGCATGATTAGTATGCTTGAAGAATACACGTATGTGCAAATATATGTTTATATGCATTATTCCTTATGATATCGTTTCTCACCCTTCTGCTGTTTTATAATGCTCTATGAGGCATTGCAGATTAGATTGATGGAGGTATTTTTGTGAAGCGTGACTTCATTTCCTTTTGGTCGGTCGGCTCTGATATGTATCACCGGGTAGATAGGATTCATTTTGATTCTTTTGTGATACATCTGAGTATGTATCTGCTGTTGATATGTTTTGTAAAACATGATGAATGATGACTATATTTGTGAATACATGTGTATGGGAATTATGAAATATTTGGATATTTCTGCCTCTGTTCTAAATATTTCTTGTGGGTTTTATCCCGTTGTTGCATATTTATTGAGCAGGTGTTGTATGTGTGGAATTTCTGTGATAATGTGATATTCCTCTTTTATGCCATGTCATAAATGTACTCTGATAAAATTTTGAATTTATGCTTAATTGATTTTTTGTGTTTTTGGGGGCATAGAAAAGGGGGGGGGGGGGGGGGGGTTACATACGACAAGGGATTCACGATATAGAACTTATCCTTGAATGAGCGAACAGAGTCTTGGTATTCCCGAAACAACTTCCTCGGCTGCTTCAAGAATACCAAATTGTGCCTGGCCTTGGAGGATTGGTTCTGAAGGTGGAAGGTATGGAAGAACATACGAGCTCAAATGCCCGCACGAACGCTATGGCATTTGGGTGCAGTTGTGAGGGGGCCAGACGGAGCCAGCAAAACATGCGCCCTGGAATTCGCTGAAGGGGAGACGCACCCCCGCCTCGCGAAACGCAAACTCATACATAGATAACCTCATCTCCCGGAAGCTCAAGCATATGATGTGTGTTTCTTTGGGTTTGTAAACCATCTAGCTCGTGGAAGATCCTTCCAGACGGTCCTCGACAGTTGCAAAGGCGTCCATATCATCAACGATGATGCGCGAGGCTATAGTTAGAGGTTCTTGCCTGGCCCAGTCCGCGGGCGTTCGAACGAGTGCAGCCCCTTCGACCTCGACGGGAGTGTCGACTCAAACTCATCACCGACATGGATAATGCATTCAATCCTTACAACCATTTTACCTGAAAAGCAGGGGAAAACAAAGAATTCAAATCCACCCTCCAACGCAAATCAAGTGAAAGGAGAAGAGAGAGACGGGAAAATTCGGGGACCATGGTCCCCTTCCCGGTGAAGGCTCATCCTACAAGAAAAACAACAACAACACGGGGACCATAGGCCTCCTCCCCAACAAATGAGGCTCCCAAATTGAGGTGACCCCGATACACGCGAATAGACCCTAATTGAACCTCCCCGCGACAATCACACGCTTGCGAGGAGCTAAGCTCCTCGAGGCTTTAATTCTAGCTCCCCGAGACCTTCATCGGAGGTCCCCGGGACATTCATCTACATCTTCATGAATTTTCCAGAATCCTCATGAAGTTCTCGGTGTCCTTGCCGGAAACTTCATATCTTGGAGAGGATTTCGATAGGTTTAAGGAGCAAATGTGCAAGTGGGAGGGGCTTCCCCCTATTTATAAGTTTGGCACGAGAAGCGAGGCAACACTAGACACTCAAGTGCCCTACGCGTATGCGCCCCTAGGCTTATAATGCACGTGACACATGGCATTTGGGGACACCACGAACGTCCCTCTAGCTTCCCATCGTGCATTTGTTTTTTCAGCTCCCCGACACATTGCCTCATCGAGCATCTGTCACTCCTGGCCGCGCTCACAATCCTCAAAATTGTATATCGGGTAGACCACCATCCCCTGGACTGGTCCTCGACGCCCTAACTTGCTCTTAAGTCGTTACTCCTATGCTTAGGAGCAACGACTTAGGGGGCTCCTGTTCTGGACTGGGTCAAGACCTGCCCCATATACGAGCATACCCAACCCAATACTATGTCGGGGAAGCCCAACAAGGTCCAAACCTCCTCTGTCGGGAATGCGCCTTGGATGTTACTTGTGTTGGACTTGGAAATCCGACCCAATGCAAGGTAATTGTTGACCTTGCGCTGGGGGCAAATTATAAATACCCTATTTCACTAGAGGATCAATTATCTTATTCTCTAGACCTATTCTCTTTGTAGTTGCTCTTTCTAAAACTCCGTTACTCACTTAAGCATTGGAGTACCTTGCAAGTACACCCACTCCTCCTCTACAACGGCGGTGAACACATAAACTCACGACGTGTGGGAGGCTACTGATTCCTTTCTGATAAGGTGAGATCAATTATTTATCTATATTTTAAGTTGTTTAAATTATTTTTTTGCATATTAAATTGTTTTTGTTTTATTCTTTGATGTTTTTCTATTTTTCCCATTTCAAATCAAACACAATATTTATTAATTACTTATATATTTTTTGGATTAAAAATATTGAAATAAGTGAATTATTACTTACTATATTTTAATTTGTGTAAGTGGTAGGGGGGAGTGTACAAAGTAATATTTCCATATAAACTTAATGCCCGATTTTTTCAGTTCGGCCCAATCACAATGCCCGACCCACTGAATTCATTACAGTTAGGGTTTCAATAGAGCAGATATTTAGTTGTTTTGTTTTACAGCAACTGCGCTTTCAAAGCGGTAGCTTCTTCCAATCTCGGAACCGTAATTTCAATCATGGAAAGTCTGTTTAATATAATATAATTTGACACCTGATTTTGATTCCATGTTATTAATGTTTTTGTTTTACTACTGTAGTCGATGAATACCATCATCGGAGAAGAAAGCAAGGTACGTATCAAGTTAGATACAGATTGAATGTGTCACTGTTTAATTCCTAACAATGTAATTGACGGTTACAGACGGAGGAGGAGATTGAGATGCGGAATCGTTACCGACGGAGGAGGAGATTGAGATGCCAAAGGAATCGTTACCGACGGAGGAGGAGATTGAGATGCCAAAGGAATCGTTGAGTGATTGCGCGCCTTCATCGGTTAAGAAAAATAAACATATTGCCGGTCTTGTTCGGATTTATGATGATTCCTCTAACAACACCTTTTTAGTCAGTATATGAATTTTCCTTATTCGTTAGTAGTATATGATTTTTTTTTTTAGAATTGATTTTAATTATTTGTTTTTATTGCAGCGTGTCACTAATGTATCTGATCCATCTAAAGGGGAAAGGGTATATTGCATGAATGGTATGGTTGAGTTGAGCCTGAACTCTTATATCAATCAATTTCATGTTTCCTTTTAATTAACATTATTAACATTATTCATCTCTCAGAACACCCCAATTTTTTGATGAGGACTACTTTTACTATACTTAAAGCATGGCAACTTGTTTGACGAATCAAGGTAAGCTTTCAACTATACCAAAATGCTTCTGAATGTTGATGTTGACCTAATTATGCATAAAGAACTCTGTGCCACTTCTGGAAACACACCTAGCCGTGCTGTTTATGCCGCTTCTGATATCCTTAAGCAAGCTCATATTATAGTTGACTATGTAACTGAGGTGACCGTGGACTAGAAGAGGCTTCATCTATTTCTTTATGCATAACATTTGAAAGCTCTTTTTGAATCTTTAAACTCTTTTAATTGATTGATATATTTTAATTTCATGATCATGTGTTTTTTGTGTTCATGTGGTGTTGAATGGTTATGCACTGGTTTTTTATGTGAGTGTAGAATTGGAATAACACGATTCAACAATAATTGAACGCTTCTAAACGCAAAGGAAGTTTTAATGTTTAGTCATTGGTTTCCAATGTCTATGTAAACTATCAAATGCACATAGTTATCAGGATTTGAATCCTTTCATTTTTTATATATTCTGCAATCTCTCACGTTTCTAATCTATGTTTCTAATCTAACTGTTCAGAATTTATAATGAGAAATTTCAAAAATAACAAAGTAAAATTGAGAGATGACAAAATATATAAAAAAGAAGAGGATTCAAATCCGTACAATTATACAACAACTAATAAATGAAGGACATAATAAAAGTAAGAAAGAAGTTTTAGTCAAAAGTATTCACCAGAGATATTGGGACAAAACATCAATTTTTGACATGACATATTAAGGATTTGGTTTTAGTGAAATTTACAAAATTTGGTTGGTGACTAATTAGACAAATTGAAGGAGTTTTGACCAAAGAAAATTCAAAATCAAATTAAATAATTGTTCTTTTGATCTTATTCGAAATGCTAAATACACATGGAGATCAATCATAGGCAAGCGAGAACATTTTCTTTCATAGTAATATAAATACGAATTCTAGCATTAGAATTCAACGTGACAATTATTATTGTCAATTTCAATACATACTAAAAGTATCCATATACAATTTCAGAAGAAAATATATTTGCTTAGTAACTTTTACCCATACAAATAAAGTTTTTACATATTATTTACATTTACTTGTTGATTCAAGTTATCATTTTGAAATGGTTGAAATTACGATTACTTTTACTTTTAAAATCAATCTTTTTCATTCAAACACTAGACTCAATATAATCAAAATCTCATTGTAATGTGCAGCACAATCTCTATATATTAGAGAGATTTGTCTTCGTCCATATGAGTTTGTCTTTACAAGTATGGGATCCTATTCCAATTTCGTGGGCGTGGATAGTAGACAGGATTGAAACGTTGCTTTTTAGAAGGCACAGTTCAAACACATTCTCTAAGATATCCCCACTGTCATCTTCAGAAAAAAAAATTGTCAGGAACGTTGCCTCTAAGATAAATTTATGGGATCGTTATAGGTTCTACTAACATGATCATAAGAATCCAATAGATAGTCTTGTCTATAAGAATCCAATAGATAGTGTTGTCTACAAATAGACCATTTGAACTGATCAACTGATTGCGAGTAAATTTGCCCAAATTAATACATGTCTGGTTCCTAAGATTGTACATGTGAAAATTATCCCCATTAAAGTGACTAGCGTCCAAACGGGCACGTCCGTGCCCGTTTGTCCGCTTTTTTTATTGCGCTAACGCGCAAAAATATTAACAGCGCATTTTTTTTATAAATTTAATTTTATCATAAACTATTTATATTGATTTTAATATAAACTATTTATATGATGAAACATTAAGTTTTGTATTTATATATTGCTATAGATTAGTCAAAAGCATAAGAAGATTTAGATAGAAGAAGAACAAAAATATTTCTCACAATTTATTAAGCAACTAAAGATAAACATTAACACGAATATTAAGTTACATTATTGCTTAATAGGAAGGTCAACCATGAAATCAAAATCAGAAATATCTCTCGTTTCACTGCAAAACAAATGAAGTAAATTTTAGTAGTCAACGGTATAGTGTAATCTAGTAAGTACACGCCTAATGTGAGATTGCAAAAGTATAGTTGAATGATTAAACATAATAGATAAATACCTGAGTTTGTGACAACAAAATTTCTTTAAAAACTATATTTTTTGCAAACTCCCCTTCTTCCCCACTTACTCTTCCGTCTTTAATTAGCACTCAGCTTGTTGCAGCCCGCGAAACACCTCTTGATAAAACAACATACAATTGTCCGTGACTGAAAACATGTCGTGGAAGATAAATTTCGACATTTGGAATTGTTTGTCCTTGGTATTTATTTATAGTGAGTGCAAAGCTTAGTTTGACAGGAAACTGTTTTCTAATAAGCACAAAAGGAAGTCCTGCACCTTCAGTGGTTTTGAGCTTAATTCTTGGCAAGAAAGCTCTTTTTCCAGGATTGTGGCCTGTAAGTATTTCAACATTAAGAAAATTCATAAAAAAAACCACGACATAACAACCTTGTCCCACTACACAACCTAAATTTAGGGTCTATGTTTCACAACAACATCAGTGGAGCCCCTATTTTTATCTTTAAAATATGTGGTGGTAAAGCACCAGGAGCAATCGTGTGCAAGTATTCCTGTTGATATAGATTATGAGTATCACCCTCAACCTCATCAAAAGATAATAAAATATGTTCATCTCCAGGGAATTTATCAATAATCATGTCATTCAACATATGCACATCACAATGTTTTGGAGTAAGTATCGCTCTCTCCACCATATATGAAGCATCTCATCCATGGTTTTCTAATTGGGGGAATGTATGTTGTATAAGCTTTTGTATGGAGCTTTCTCCTTCCCAAGGTATTACAATTTCAGCAGGCATTCTGACCATGTCATCCTCTTTAGTAGGTTCATTACCATCTCCAATCCTCATTAGAAACTGCGTAAAGTCCTGGTCATGAATTGATCGCATGTTTTGGCACAAATGTAGGACCTTTGTGGTGGCCCATAATCGAGACCTAACAATACATGCTGAAATCATTTGTTCTCTATTTCCTTTTTCAATAACTGGTAGCACCTGACGAAAATCTCCGCCCATGATCATTATTTTTCCACCAAATGGAGCATTGTTATTCATGATGTCTTGAAGTGATCGATCTAATGCTTCTACACAATATTTATTTATCATGGGTGTTTCATCCCAAATGATTGCATTGATTATTCTAATGAGTTTTGCAAGGTCAGAATTCTTTGCTATTTTGCAAGGTCAGAATTCTTTGCTATTTTGCAAATAGAATGAGGCTCTATATCAATGGGGATCCCAAATCGAGAGTGTGCAGTTCTACCACCTGGTAATAATGTAACAACTATACCTGAGGAAGCTGTTGCTAAGACAATTTTATTATTACGCCTCAAATTTGCCATTATAGTTCGATAAAGGAAAGTTTTACCTGTCCCTCAAGGACCATCAACAACAAAAATTTGACATTGTTTTCGGTGGATGACGTTCATAATTATATTGTAAGCACTCATCTGGTCATTATTTAACTTCACAACAAATTGAACGTCTTCGTTTGGAATTTGGACCGATAACTCTTCCTGAATAATTGTTGGCACTCCGTACCCGTTTGTCCGCTTTTTTAATGTGCACACGCGTCAAAATACGAACAAATATTTTTTATTTAATTTTGATTTTAATTTAAATCATTTGTATAGTATACTCTGTAATATGCATTTCTGTCTGCCCCTCCCCTTTCTCTCTTATAAATTTGAGAATAAGTACATTGATTGGAGAGGAAGAGGAATGGAGCGAAATTTGAATTGAATGACTATATGAGGTGGTTTTAACTTTTATTCTCTTTTAAATTATATTGAATGGTTAGTTTATTTTGAATGGTGCACTTGAGGAAATTTTATTTTTCATTACTCTTTAACAATTTAAGAGTACTTTCTTGTGACAGTTTTTTAAGGATAATATTGAAGAAAAAAAATAAGTCAACCCAAAATATTGTATCCACTTTATAGTTATAGAAGTTATAGATATAGATGTATACAACTCTTTAATCAAGTATTTTGAATTCGATCGAATGAATTTATTATCATTATTCTGCACTTATGTCATACTGTTAAACTATTGAGAGTTATATAAAAATATTTGAAAAAAATAGTTAAACACAAATATTTGTTGGACTACCAAAAATTAAGTTCAATTTGGAAAGAAATTAATTGAACAAAATATTAGGTTGCATTGATATATTGCAATTTCAATTTAGGGAAAGAGTAAAAGTGAAAAAACTACGTGCAAAAATATTACAAAATATTAAGCAATTAAATCCATGGTAATTTAACTTGAAGCATAGTACAATTTAAACTGAAGCATATATTACATAATTCAAAAAGAGTTAAAGTTAGACATCAGATACAATTGCTATTTTTAAAGTTCAATTGAACAAACACAATATTAAGTGAATAGTAAATGAGAATTTTGATCCAATACAATTTTTTTTGTTGACACAAACACAATATCAAAAGAAAATAATATTAAAAAATTAGTATAATTGACGTATTCATTAATTGAAGTGTTGCACTACCATTTCCAAAACAATTTTCTAAAATGGTTTAATATGAGTTTAGTGATCTTACAAAAAAAAAATAGAGAAAATAAAATATTATAAAAAATAAACATGAAGAATTTTTTATATGATCTTGTTTTACCCATCTACCATTAATTTATACCGGGTAATGTAGTTAATTTTTCTACGTAGTTATAACCATTTTAAAAAGGAAAACTACCATTCTCTTGAAAAAAACTGCACCCATTATTAGTACTTTTTTAAAATTAAATAAATTATATTTTAAAAGATAAAATAGAAATAAAAAAGAGGCCGTCTAAAAACTACAATCTCCAAAATATAGGTAATATAGAATAGAGTAGATAAATGACTAAATAAATTGAATCAAAGTGAAAATTCTGCAATTATAAATTAAATTACAGTTACAAAAGGTAACTTTGAAAGAAAAAAAAAAAGAACAATTCAAAATTTTTTGAATATATGCAATGA